AGCTCTGGTGGTTACTCTCAGGGCATCGGCCGCTTGCCTCCCTCTGTCTCCGTGGTTGCCTGGGGTCCCATAGTAGATTTGATGGGTTCGGCTTCCTCTGTTTGGAGCACTGGCAGCTTCCTAGCAGGAGCTTGTAGCCCGCAACCACTCTCCTCCTCAGTCAACCCAGCCTGAGCTAAGCTGCTTCCTTTTATACACTGTCTCCAGCTGGAGCATGCCCAGCAGGAGAAAGAGGCATGGCCTCTTGGGCCCACAGGGAGTGGCTAACTGTTGCTGGGTCGATACACCCCGTCACAGTGCTGCAGTTTTTTTTTTATTGCAGTGTGGACATATCACATGTGATTTGTCCAAGGTCACACAGCAAATCATTGTGGGTCTAGATCCAAAACCTACTGAAGTCAGTGGAAAGACTCCCATTGACTCCAGTGGGTTTTAAATCAGATGCTAATAGCGCCAGGAACCATCCCCAGGTGTCCTGGTTCCCATTCCCCTACTTTAACCATTCAGCAGTATACTCAGGAATTTTACCTACAGTCATTAAAAGGAAATCTGCAGTGAGGTGGACTCATGCCTGACAGGACTGTTTAATTGTTAATTCATACTGATATCCCAAAATCAAAAGCAAGGGTAAATGATTTTGTTTTATAAATCAAACATAAGGATCTGAGATGTGTTAAGTACACATATTTTATTTTTTTATAATACTTTTTTTTGTTCAGTCAGCCAAGCTGATATATAAATATTTTAAAACATCTACTCATCAGGAAAAGTACAAATTCCATATTGTATAATTAGATGAGATGTGTACTTTTCACTTTAAAAAAATTCTTGACTGTATTTGATCTCTCCTATTGAAACCTTGCAATATTTACAGCAAATTAAAAGGCAGCAAGGTCCCTCTTTAGAATGTACTTTTCCTTTTAATGTCACAAAATGTTACCTTGTCTCCTGCCTCTTTCACTGGAATAAAGCTGTGCTCACTTAATCAATTAATTCCACATAGCAAAAGCCACTCAGAGACATTTTCTTCAGAGGAGCTAGTCAGCCTCTTTGTTTGGAGATGACAGTTGTGCAGATTTTTGTGACAACAGTGGTAAAAATAAAAGAGCAGACCCTGGGTCTAATCCTTCAAATCTTATTCAGCCAAGTAGCCCCAATGAATTCAATGATGATATTCAGATGAGTAAGGGTTGTGGGATCCCACTCTATATGAACATGATGCATGAAAATAAAAATATATGAGGAACCAACGGGGTTTGTATCAGGCCCTAAGTGAACAATTCTGAGTGAAAGAATACTTCATTAGATGTATACTCTATGAATTATGCATGAGTACATTGTGATTTTCTGGAATATCTATTTGATATTTGAGTAGCTATTTGAAATTATTCATCTAATTCCTGCAAATAATTTTTGGTTTATAAGCTGTTTGCAAGCAATGTATTGTGAGTAGCTGTTAAAGCAGCTGCTAACTTGCAATGGGGGATAACTCAGCCCCTGGCTGCCCCCAAAGAGTATGGATGGGAGATGGAAATGTTGCATAATGCCCCCTGCCAAACAGCATTCTGGTGCACCTGAGGAGCCAGCCATTTGTGTCTATTTACATAATTAGTGCTATCATCCCTTATACATCCATCCTGTGCACTGAATGAAGTAGGGTCCTGTGGGGGGAAAAATAGTATGTGATCATGTAGTTAAAGACCCCTCCATAGGCACAAGGAGGAGGCTGAATTAAGGTTGCACAGACAACTGCAAAGCTAGCATTTCCTAACTTTCAGGTTATGGACTTTGGAATCAAAATAACATTCTTTTAATGTAGAGTTTTTGTATGTTATTTCCTAAGATGTATTTTTGTGTGGTTTCGTTTTGTTTAGGAAAAAGGTAAAAACAAATCCCATTTTGTCCAACTGTAACAACTTCCCCATTATGCATCATCAGCCACGTTTGAACTGCAGCACAGACTGCTACCACCTGAGCTACCATAACTGGCAGCAGGAAAAAAGCTGTTATCCTGTGGGGGGGAAATGGGCCACTGGATCAGGGGTGGTTGAGGGGATCCTAGCCTGGCTTTCTCTCACCCTTCTCCTCAGGAGTTGGGGAGCTCCTGTCCTATGTGGCACTCCCAGAAGGGAAGATGGGTTGCTAGGACTGTATGCTGGGCCTGGGGAGTGACCAGGGGGAATGTAACCCTGGTTCTCTCTATATATATGTATACACACATACCTGCTATAGCTGCAAGGACACCTTGGAGGTTCTGGAGCAGCTGTGGTGATTCAGGTGCCCTCTAACATTTCAGCAACATATTGTAGCTCTTTAGAAGTTTCTAATCATCTGTCAGAAAAACCATTTTTGGTCAGTTGGTATTTCCTTGAAAACTGCACACCAGAGCTAGCGTTAGTACTTTTAGGTGGACTTGCAAAATGATTGTTTTACAACCCACCCTTACTCACCCACCCAAGTAGTAAAGGGGCCACTAAGACCACACCACTATGCATGGAACTGGACTGAGAATTTAAAATAGCCTGGCTTTTTTTCCATTGGAGGAATGAACCTCAACCAATCTCTCTCTCTTACTAGGGAAAAGCCCCCCCCCCCCCCCCCCACCCTATTTCTGCCAGTCTACAATTATATTTATAATATATATAATATTTCTGCCAGTCTACAATTTTCATTGGTCCCTCTGGACTACATTCCCCAGAATGCCCTTGTTCAGGACTGAACCGGAACAGAGGTGGTACTGGATCAGTAAACTTCCTTAAAGGGCCCAGGACATCTTGTACAGTTAGCAATACGGCTCTTTGACACCCCCTGCCAAACTTAACTAGCTTTTACAATTCCACCTTTCCCTACTTATCAGCTTGTGTCTTGTATCACATTTCCCCACACCCAAACCCCCTGCTTTGCCAAGGATGCTAGCCCCAATGCACCATGGGCCTGTTTCTCCCACAACCCTCTTTGTACATTGTTCTGCACAAGGAGGATTTATGAATTTGAGGGCTGTATGGCACAAACTAGCATGTCCTATTTAATTGTCACCACCCCCTTGCAAGGGAGGTAGCTATTATTTCCAGTTTACAGATGTGGAAACTAATGTGTAGAGAAGGTAAGGTCAATATTGCCAAATGTGACTGACTTCAGTGGTCATTAAATCAGGCCATTAGTCCACTAGCCAATGTTGTCTCTCAAGTTATTGAACTGCCCCACCTTGTGGCAAGAGATCTTCTTGGTTTGGCTCAACTATCACAGGTATTTGGATGGTAGGGGGCTTGTGGTATCCCTACTGCCATTCGTGGTAGGCTGGGTGGCCTTGTTCTTAACTGCTATGAACTAATCTGGGGTCTTCCCAAAAATAAAGGAGCCTATGGTTGTGGATTTTTGGACTCCAAAAGCCATCCCTAATTGGCTGTGAGAGGACTGACTTAAAGGAATCAGCGATAAGTTCCTTTCCAAGTGATCTGTTTGCATCAGTTTACATTTTCAAGGCTATCTGCACAAGGCTCATCCTTGATCATAATTGAAACTGAGATTTTTCTTTACATCTCTAGGTTCCCCAATAAAGGAAGCCATGGACATGGCCTGCAAAGCTAGCTGGATGCAGTTCAACTCTGAAATGTGACTATAAAATGGTTCTTTTTAATTCTACAGGTCTGCACCCTGTGTTTGTTTACTCATATCTACTGATGTGAGTGAGTGAAATAAGATTTTACTGCTTTTTACTCCTGCTAGCTTTGCAGAGCCAAAATAGTGATGGGAGAGGGAACTGAATTCTTTTCCTTCTTGTGTATCAAGAGAATTGTTTATGGGGTCACACAGGTGTCACTGGGGATAGAATTTGGCCAGCACATCCTTTATTACTGGTTATGATGATAATGCATAAGAATGAAAGAGCCCAGCTTGTCTCTCAGATCCCAGGTGGAGTTTGTAGGCTATAATCAGACCAAAAAAAATTCTTGTTATTTCTTGTTATTCTTGTTATTTCTTGTGAAATGAACACATTTGATATTGAAATTGATAGCCAGTAAGCAGGGAGCCCCCATGACATTATTTTTACAGAACTTCTTTCCCCAGAGTAGAACTGAACTTTCTGTCCCATTTTATTCTGAAATAGAAAAGGGAGAGGAAATATTCAGGGGAACCACCGACTCCTAAGGAAGAATTCCTTCTACCGTCTACTCTCCTTGATCATTCCTCTCCCAGGTGCATGTTGAGTCCTGCCTCCTGCATGTTAACAGGGGAAGTAAAAAGCCAGAGTGTTATCAGCAGGACCAGACAAACCCTGCCAAAATTATTCTAATCACTTTTTAGAAAGAAAAAAGAAACAACAACAACAACCTTGTGTCATTATGGAAGAAAGCATCATCATCTAGAAATGCCACTCAAGGAGGGTGGGAGAAACTGTGATGAGGACACCCAGAGAGCAGGCCCTGAACCCAGGGGCTGGGGTTTTTGGGTGCTGTGGGGGTCTGTGATGTAACTTCTGGCTGCTGCCAGCCTCCCCCTTGGTTTCGGCCACGACTTTATCACATGGAGCTGGAAGTGGTCTGAGTTGCAAAATAACTTTCTCTGATGCCATTAAATGGCAGGCTGGAGCACCTCGGAGAACAACCCGCTGGGCAGCTAGCTCAGCGAGGGGCGGGAAAGGGGAGCCATAGGGGAGGGGAACTTTCCCTCCCCGCCCTTCTCCAGCCCACACCCCTCTTCTCCCTTCCTAGTCACTCCCTTCCCGTCCCACCTGCCTCTCTCCAGCCCCTTCCCCAGCTCTCCCTTCGCTTTGTTCCCTGCCTACCCCCGCCCCCTCCCTCCCGGCTACCTGCGCGGCGCTCGCAGGGGGCTGTCCCTCCAGTAGCAGGGGGTGGGCCCTCCCGAGGAGACCTGCCCCCCCCCCCTCGCCTCTCTCAGCCCGTGCCTGACGCGAGGGGGCAGAGGCTGGCGCCAGCCGGCCTTGCTGGGAGCCTGGTGTGTGTGTGCGCGCGGCGGGCGGAGGGGCCCGGGCCCGGGGCATGGAGAGCCTGCTGGAGAACCCGGTGCGCGCCGTGCTCTACCTGAAGGAGCTCACCGCCATCGTGCAGAACCAGCAGAGCCTCATCCACACCCAGCGCCAGCGCATCGACGAGCTGGAGCGGCGCCTGGACGAGCTCAGCACCGAGAACCGCAGCCTCCGCCAGCAGCACCCGGCTCCCGCCGCCGAGCCCCAGCCGCGCCCGCCGGCTCCCCCTGCGGCCGCCCCGCAGCCCGAGCCGGAGCCGCTTCAGCACCCCCAACAGCTCCCGGCGCCGCAGCCGCTCCAGAGCAGGCAGGCTCAGCCGGGCCCCAGCGGCGGCGGCGGCGGCAGCAGCCGGGCTCCCGCTCACCAGCACCCCCCGCTCCAGCCCCATCAGCACCACCCGGAGAAAGACAGCAGGGAGAGGGGCTGCTGCACCACCCTCCTCCAGCACAAACCCGCCCCGGCCATCGGCAAAGGCGCCCTGAGCAGGAGACCAGAGTAAGTGTGTGTGTGTGTGGGGGGGGCGACACAAATGGCTCTTTCCAGGCCGAGCGCCAAGAGGTAACTGGGATCTAACGCCCCGGCTCCCTGCCACGGAGAATGCGGGGGTGGGTGGGGAATCCCTCCCTAGCTGTGCTCTCCAGCTGGAGCGTGCGGGGCGCAAAGAGCCGCGCGGCTGCCGCTTCCAAGGGGCATCAGCCGCCTTCCTCCCGCTTGGTTCGTTGGGGGTGTGTGTGTGTGTCTGTGTCTGTCTGCTGTCCCTGGTAGAATCCTGCCCGCTCGGGGCACACACGCCAGCCCCGTGCTCGGGCTTGTCTCTGTCATAAATAAACAAGTCTCGGATCAAAGCTGATCTCAGTGTAGGCAAGGCAGGGAAGGAGGCTTTGCAAAGGACAGCGGCGGCCGTGTGGCAGGATCTGTTTTCATCAGGGTTGTGCGGCTGGTCGCTGGAAAAAAATCATCCCTGTCTGACCGAGAGGGGATTTTCTCACCTGTGGGGGTGCCTTAGTATATTACATATCAGGACTAGGTATATACATAAACATAGATGTTATACAGTTATGATATTTAGGGTGCCCATCTCAGTTTTCTGGGGTTATAGCTTTCTTTTCAAAGAGGTGTCTGACACCTGTCCAGCTTTTTAAAGGGAGAAAGTATTTTTTGCTGGCCTTTGTTCTCTAACAGATAGCATGAATACTAATACCGAATGCTAATAATGATATGTGTGTGTACGGATAGTATACAAGGACTAGCAGTCCAAAACAGAAATAGAATAATACTGGAGAGTTACATTTTCCTGCTTTATGCATCCAGTAAGTCCCATCAGCTCACCAGCTTGCAATTACAACTGAGCTAGATATCTGATCTGCCTTTACTTAGGTGGTTTGGAAACAGCAGGGTATTTTTTGGTCAAAAGTCAGGGTAAGTAAAGTTAGGAACAGATGAAGGAACATGTAGATTGCTTAAATGACTATGGCATATAACCAGCTCACATTGATGGTAAAACCAGAACTATTTCTCATCTAGAGTAAAAGTGTATGCCTTTCTTCCTGATGTTGTTGAAGCTAATAAGATCCTCCTCAGCGCAGTTCTCAGTCCAGATCATGGTTTGTTTGTTTGTTTGTTTTTTTGCTCTTTCCAGAAAAGGAACCCTTCCTTGCTGTGTTTGTTTTGAATACTGAAGGGCAGTTAGAAACATCAGTGATTTACACCTGCTGAGGGTCTGGCCCATGACTAAGCAAGAAGCAATGCAGAAATGATAATTAAAGTAATTTATACCTCACCTTATATGTACAATGTACTTTCCACACCAAAAGCCCCTAAAAGCTTATAATTTTCAGGCTCAATCCTGCAAACCCTACTTACTGAGATCTGTGGCAATACTCATGGTAGTAAGCGCTATGCTAGATAGTAAGGAGCGGGCCCTTATTCACTATGCATTGTAAGAAGCTTTAAAAACACATAGGAACTGATTCTGTTCTCTTGTATACTACTGTAAATTCAGAATAAATTCAGTGGCGTTACACCACTGTGAAACCCATGTAAGTGAGTGCAGAATCAAGCTCATTGTTTTTACACAGTGAATCCCTGCAGTGAAGCCAATATTAGATACATAACATTGGCAAGGTTTTCCTTTCATCTGAATATAGTTTCTCACATACGTCATTAGACAGATTGAAGAGTCAGTTGCAATGCACAAGTCTGAATAGCTCCTTTATAAGCCTTTCATTTTTGCAGTGGGGTTTGCTTGGGGAAAAAAAATCCCATGAATTTCTTACTATTTCATATCAAAATGCACAAACAGAGGAGCATTAAGGACACTGCTGATCTCTGATACATACACAGTGATTTGTGGAAAATCAGGACTGCTGCCAGGGATAACATAGCAATCCCTGAAGCTCTCTTCACTCAGGAGGATTAAAATAGCCTGCTTCTATTTCCTCCTATAGCTTAGGCAAACCAAAATCTTTGTATAAAAAGAAATTTATGAGATTGAAAAAGGTTTAAACTCCTCACTTTAGCAGGTTCATTGTCTTTTATTGATTAGGTACACTGGGTTTCATCCTCTCTCATCTGCAAATGCTAGAGGGAAATCAAAGAGACAACAAAATCTAATCTAAAGGCATCTTGAATGTGGAGGATCTTTCACCTCCTTTTGACAGTGTGCCTAGTATTGACTAAGATCCGAACGGCCAACTTCAGGGTTGCATTTGGGCTTTTATGCAACAATAGCGGAAATTTGATACAGAAGACATGGTGTGTGGAGAGGACCTTAGATAGTGAAGATTTTTCACCTCCTTCCTTCCCCCATGCCCCCAGTCATGATATTGCCAAATTATAAATGCTAAAATCCAATGTTCTCTTACATTTCATTTCCTCTCCCTCCCCCCTGTCTTTCTGACCAGGACTGTAAGAACTGAATAATAATCAGGAGAGAAAATGGCCACTCTAAATGGAACAGAAATGAGATCTTGTAGGAATATGATGGATGGAAGCAGGGCTTAAAGTGATTTAAAAGAAGTACCAGGTCTATTATTGCCTAGCAATGGAACTTCATCAGTTTGTCACAAAACTGAAGGGCCCAGACAGCTTGTTTAAATACATTTGTAATGCTCCCTCCCACCTCAGGCACAACCCAGAGGTCTCTCTTATTTTGGGCCAGGGTTGAGATCCCGCATGAGCCAGCTCACCATAATCCTTGGGTAGAAGTGAACAGCTAAGCTTTTAGACAAGTGACTATCCATCTTGACCTCAAGAGGCCTGCAGAAAAACACAGGCCCTTTGTTTTTAATAAAGTTTGGGGTCATTCATTTTATTATTTTTCTTCTCAGCAGTAAAAAAAAAAAAAATCTACATTTTAAATAAAAAAATCTGTGCGTTCCAAACTTTTCTCTGGAAAGGGGGGAATTCATCAGGTATGCAGAGGATAGTTAATTGCTGCTGCGTGGCAGTGAGGACAGCAATGCAGAGCTCACCTATGAAACGAGAGGTAGGAGAAAAGATTTACATAGCTATTTCTCAGCAGGAATTAGTCTGATTATTATTCTGTGGCATATATCTCTTTCTACCTAGGAATCTATTGCATAAGTGCCCCATTACTGCTTTAAAAACAAAAAATAAGGTCAGTCATTCTGGAATGTGTTGCCGCAGAAATACAGGTTCCCAAATTAGCATGCCTCAGATCACCCTTATTAGGTAACCTCTTGTCGTAAGAGGCCATTCTAAAGTATCCCCAAATGTACGGGGTATAATTCTCCCTCCTTATCTTTATCAGAAGAACTCCCTTGAGATGCTTCATTGTATGTACCAGAGAATTCCAGCAGAGATTAATTTGGCCTCTTGAGTCTAAATGGGTCAAATCCTGCAGTCCTTACACAAATGAAATTCCCTCAGTGAGAGCTGTGCCTGAGTAAGGACTGCAGAATTTGCTCTTACGTGCATAGGTGGCAAAGTCCTTTGTTGTATAAAGAATAATAATAAATTGTGATTCAAATACTTTGAACATCTATAGAATCTTCCATCCAAAGATCTCACTGAAGTTTACATACATTAATTTGAGGCAGAGATTATTATCCCTGTTTTACATATGGCGAAGCAAAGACACAGAAACTTTAAGTGACTTACCCAGCATCACACTCGATGCCTGTGACACAGCCCAGAACAGAACCTGGTTCAGTTGAATCTCAGCTCTGTATATGGACCACAAGACCATCTCTCCTGCAAGAAGGATCTTGTGGTATAAGTTTTACAAAACCACATTTTCCAAGGGTTTATAAACTATTTGGATTTGCACTGGGCTGAAACCAGCTTTATTTTATTTTTTGTTGGTATGTAGCAGATGGGTAGTTTTATCTTACCCTGTAATAGAGAAGGCATGGTTTGAGAGAGCTAGATGTTACATCCACTTAGTCTTTGCTATGGACTGAGGCCATTTGCTACATTTTTTGTTTAATTTAAAAAGCCTAATTATGTAACTTTAAAATGAAGCTACTGCATATGCAGAGGTGCTGCTTTCCATAATTTTTCTTTTAAACTATGCATTAATGTTCTGTTCTATGGATTATCTCCAGGGTAAAGGCATTAGACAAAATCCCATTGATTTCAATTAATTACTGTAAATATTGTGGGTTTACTATTACTATTAACATATTTTACCATATTTGCGCATTGCACCAGTAAAAATAATAAAAATACTGCAGTAATCCTGCATTCCTTGCACACCACAAATCCCCACACATTTCATTTTGGGTACAGAAGAAATGCACTAACTGTCTCAGAGATTGACCACATTGGCGTTTGAGCCACTACTTTAGTTGCACTGGTATTGCCCCAGCGCAAACCCTATTGTAGATGTGTAAGAAGTGACTTGCAGCAATGTGGCTTACCCTAGTTTCAGATGGTAGAGATTTGCATCAGCACAGCTACATTGATGGCTAAAGCCCCGATGTAGACAAGCTCACAGACATTTTAAGAACAACATTTAATTTGACTAAATAGCTCAAGAGGGAGGAAAATGAAAATAAACGATTTGAGGCTATCTATATCCCATTTTAAGGTATATCCATAATGGTTCCAAAACTCCACAGTATGAAATGAATTGAATGATTATGTAAAATCTGCATCAGTGCCTGGTAATGACACCCATTGTAAAATTCCAGACAAAGGGATAGGAGTTAATGGCTGTTAACAATTCCATGCGAAATACCAGCTAGAGGGACAAAGAGTCCATGTCCAGAAACAATACCATATGAAATCCTAGCTGCAAGAATAGAGTTTGAATGCTTAGCAATGATGCCATGAGCAATCCGAGTCACAGAGACAGCACCTGCATTTGTAGAATTGATACCATACAAAATCCATGCCAGAGCAACAGAGTGCCATTCCCTGGAAAGAAATCCCAGAGGCAGGGTTGGGCTGGCATTAGTGCTTTAGTAATGCTAGCACATGAAAGTATCTGTGCCTAGTAATGAAATCATGGGAAGTGCCAACCAGGGACCCAGG